CGTCTTTTCCGAACATCTCTGTAATTTTGGATTCAGTAAAAGTCATTTATTGGCACTCTTCCAAATCACAAAAGTTAAAGGAAGGGAATATAAATTAGTAAGGAAAATATTTATTTGCATGAAGTGGCATGTCAGCGTAAGGTGGCACCATATCTCATCTTTACCTTCTTTCCCAAGAATTATTTAAATGAATTTCACACCTGTAGCTTAGAAAAAAAAGGTTTTCTAATATTCCATATTTTTCTACTTTACATAAGAGGGGGATCAGCAATAGTAAGACACTTTATTATGGGGTCAGTTCATCACAGTGGTGGTGGCAGAAAACCTGGGCAAGGCTTTATAGAGAAAAACCCTTATTGTTTAAAATTTTTTTCCTGTAATCAATACATCCAAAATACACCTAATGGATATGGAAATAGTAAAAGTAAAAAAAACTTAAATTCCATGAAAATCTCCCCTGCTCCTAAGTAAGGCAGAAACTGGCTCCAGATACTGGCATGACAGGGACCGTTCATTCTGCAATGTTTGCACTCATTTTCATGGTAGCAAGTCGATCAGAGCCTTATCACATCCAGCCTGATCCAGTTAAAGCGGACTCGCTGAGACCATCCAGCCCTGCTGTGGTGTGAAGGCAGCGGATTACCTGTTATATCAAATATGACTGTGAGCTCCTCGGTGAAATCTTACACAGCACCTTAGGAGAAAACGTCTGTCTGAACTGGGTTTCAAGTGTGTAGGAATCACAGTGGCATCGCAGAGCAGCCACTAATGATGACAGACTCACAGTCGGCGGGAGTGTGCCTGCTCTAACACTGCATTTGGAGTCACCTCTTTCCTTCTGCTGTAAAATGACAACTCTTTAGAGCGTGACAACTTTGATATTTGGCGCAAATGGGAAGAGAGAGAGTTGACTTCTGCCCATTTAGCTGAAAGACTGGCAAGGTTTCTGTCATGAGTAAATTAACTCAGCGCGGAGATACCTGCAGTGAGGGCATTCAGTCGTCTTGGTGTGGTTGCAGAATGACAATATTACGGAGTAATATTACAAGGAGTGTTTTCAGGAAGAAAGGGCGTAAGATCCTCCAATGCTATCTCTGAGCATCTGGGGTTCTGATGTTTTTTCTCCTTCCAAAGAGTAAAGACCCATTTACTAGAGAAAATGGAGGTGCCATTGAAAAGGTTTGCCCTGTAAATGAGAGAAAAACTAACACTGTCACCTGTACTTGTCCCTCGGTGACTTTCCTATTCATCGAACAACTGCACCGTTTATACTAAAACAAGTTACAGTAACATTCGAGTGCCATGTAAGGAGTCTGTCACATCATGAGTCTTCTATATGGGTCGAAGGGCTAAATTATAGTGGCCGTGGTGCGAAGGGGAAAAGTGGATTCTAATGTGGCTCATTTCTGCTGTTCTGGAAGAGAAAATTCTTTCTTTCTGATGAATTTAAGTGTATTAAATTGACCTACATTATTTTGAATTTCAGGAGGAAGAATTTAGGCTATATCTTAGGGGTAATAAAAAAAAATGCCTAATAAAAAAAATGCCAACTCTGTGCATCTAGGGACATTTAAATACATTTTCCAACATGTTACAGAATCTTCTTGGGGGAGAAGAAAAAAGACTTTGCTTTAAATGGCTTTCATGATCATCTTTATAAAAGCCAGGTAGAGGCTTAATAGATTTTCCCAGTCATTTCTTACAGTTATTCAGAATAAAGAGGAAATATCGTGATGTAATTTCAAGTGAATTAGACATCATTATCAGGAAGAAGCAAGGAGGTAAAGTCAAATATTTACTTTTAGGTGAGTCATGTTCTGCTCTGTGGAAAAGATATTTTGGTTTCTCATTTTCATAAGCAATGGCTAATCCTGTATGTCTTTTTATTTCCCTTTTGGGGGGCTTTTTATTCATGACCATATTTTATGAACATTAAGATGTGATATTTGGCTATGCGGAGATTTATGTGAAAAGGGATTCTCAAACCGAGAGACTGTCACTGAAAAAGATTTTGTTTCTTCATTTGCTGATTTTTAAGCAGACGGATGAACCAGTTTGTAAAAAGGAGACTGAATTTCTGTGTGTGTACTTCAGTTTGTCAGATTATGTGTATGATGTTTCTGGTTCCAACACAGACCAGTTTAGGATGTTCTGAATTAGACGTGATCTTTTCTAAAATAAACGCACACCCCATTCATTGCACAGATTTTCCCTTACTTGAAATGCAGGATTCAAGAAAGAAGGGAGACGTTTTACAGCAGTTGAGGCTCATAAGGCTGAAAACCAGCGAGCCACGCTGTGGACCCTGGTCCTGACGAGACGACCAGTGCAGCTTCGGAGGAAGGCCGGGCCGGGCCTGGTCGCTGCTGGGAGGGGAGTGTTTTCTCGCGGCATGCGAGGCTGCCTTCTTTCTGCAGCGATCAGCCTTGCCACCTTTCTTCCCTTTCGAGTCTTCCTTTCATATGCAGGGATGTGATTCAGCTTGACGGACTGGAGCCTTCTTGCTCTCCCCTCTCACAGCCCTCACGACCCGCCAGAATGCCTGATGTGGGCCGTTCTGAAAATGAATGATAGCGCTTAGGCCAAACTGACGGCACCTCACTCGGACCACGCTGATGGTTCTGGATGGACCGTGACGACGTGCCACTTTTTTCCCTCTGTATTTCTTTTTGTCTCAAAGTTTATTTTGATTTTTCTCTACTTTTAACTATGGAAAAAGAAGAGATCAGCGCTCTCGTGTCTGCATCTTCGCCCATCTTTTCCGCCCTGCCGTGTGCACTCGCACGCGGAGATAAACCCCTTCTTTGGTTGGTCGGAAGGTATCGGAAGGTCACTCACGCTCCCTCACTGATGTCAAGGAGGAAAACCCTTTTCTCCACCCTCTTACGTTCAGTGCTTGGGGCCTGCGCGTTGAGCTGACAGAAGACAGGTCAGCAAGAGGAAGGACAGTTAGCATTACACACGGGGTGCTCCGTGGTGAGCGCCTCAGAGGGGCCGTGGAGCTTTGGAGCATCCACCTAAGTTACGTCTAACGTGGCAGGGGAGAGGAGGTGTGGAGAAAAGGCCTCCAGGGGAAGAACACGTGGGTTTATTTAGGAAAGACAAATGGATTTTTAGGAGAACAAATGGGAGATAAAGCTTCGGTGTTTGTTTCTGCTGAGGCCGGCGTTCTCTCTGCCTTGGCCATGAAACTCCTCTGAGGGGATTTATGGTCAGTTTACTCTTGGTCTCTCTCTCTCCTGGGATTAGAAGCTGCCTCAAAGAGGGAATTTATGGCAGTCCTTATTTCTCAGAAGTTTCAGTTTTAGTCAGATAATGGAAGCTCCGAGAGAACTTTCTGCATCTGTTGAATGTCAAATGTCTTCATCTTAAAATAATCTTCATGTCACCTCTGGAGTTCTGAGTGGGTCCCTGCACCGACAGCCAGGGACAGTCTCCCTCCTGTGTCCTCGGTGGTCCCTTGACTTTCTGTTTCAAAGTGTGCATGTCATCTCAGCATCTCGTCATGCGCTCCAACCCAGTGGTCTCTTACCTCTTTCCTTCCTCTCTTCGTTCTGAGATGATTTATGATGCCGGGGGTTTTCTGCTGTGTGCTAGCTTGCTTGTCTCTGAATATTTTCCTCCCAAAACTTGTAATACGTGCTTTAAAACCTTATCTTCCTGTTTACAGTAGCCTCACTGGGCCATTTAGTAAATGGTACGGCTAAGTGCTCTTCACTCCGGATTCAGAATGAGGGGATAAAGTGAAATGCTCTGTCTCACGCTTTTGAGCTGTCCTCACATGTCCTGCCTTACAAGATTATGTCATTGGAATACGGTTTTTAAGCCCTTTTTGTTGGGGAAAGCTACAGAACAGATTTTTATTATCGCCTGTGGCAAAATAAAGAGTAACGAGGTGACGAGGACCGTGGCTTCGCGGCTTCGCCTGGACGCCCTGAGAACTGCTGAGGCCCCTCGCTTTTCCTCTTTCCTTCTAGGTACAGAGGCAAAACGTACAGGGCTGTGGCCAAGATTGTACGCACGTCTGACCAGGTAGCAGACTTTTGCCGACGGGTTTGTGCCAAGCTGGAGTGCTGTCCAAACTTGTTCAGTCCTGTGCTGGTTTCTGAAAACTGCCCAGAAAACTGCTCCGTTCATACCAAAACCAAATACAGTGAGTACAGAACCTTGGTCCGTGGGCCTGAACTGCGGGGTCGTAAGTAACCTTATGAATACTTTCTCATAGGAATTGCTACGGAAGAATTTTTTTAAGATTTTCCGTGCTAGGTTCTTGTGGGTGTCTAGCCTGATATAAGGAAGAGATGGGGGTGATTAAAATCGGGGCAAATGATCATTGGTAGGCGTTGGCGAAGAAGCAATGAGACTGTGTGCTATCGCGAATGTCGGTGGATTGGTTGATTTGGAAAACAATATGGCTGGAAGAAGAGCACAATGAAACGAAGTTTTGGCAATGGCCAGTAACCAGAGTTCCTTTCTAGGTTCTTACACTGAGAAACTGTAATGAGTCTGTCAGTGCCCTTCTCCGCACCGGTCAGCCTTCCCGTCCTCTGCTGCTCCCCTGTGCGCCACTGTCCTCAGGACACGCTCCAGTGCAGCACGTCACTCCCCTTTCTTTGCTCCTGTCTCTGCTTCACCACCGTGACACAGACTCAGAGTTGCCACCACGGCCCATACTGCCTTTGCTCTGACCTCTTCCTGGCAGGCTGTTCCCTCCTTCATCACTCGCCTCTTCCATCTCCCTGTCACGTCGGTGACCTCTGCCTTTCCTTGTTGGCCTTCTCTAGGCCCCGCCCCACCTCCAGCCTGGCCTCATTTCCATGCCTCAGCCGCTCCCAGACACCTGTGCCACGGGTTGTACGAGCTCAGAATCTCTCTGGTCCAGGCTTCTGCTGTTTCTGCGTGTCCCCTCAGTTATTTCTCATCCGATGGGAGACCACATCTCTGTCACAGTGTCCTGGAGGTTTGCTCTGCCAGCCTACATTCCGGCAAGCTGCTGGGGTATTGCTGGGACCACCTCCCCCGCAAGTGCAGAGAGTGCTCTGAAGACCCCCAGTTGGGATTTGTCAACTTGTGTGTCAGAGCCAAGAATCCAAACATACTAGAAACAGTCATCAGAGTATGCGTGTCCTTCTATTTTGTACACACACGTATACACATCCCCCATTCCACGCTGTGCACACTCATGGAGGAATCGTAAAAATCCGCCCCTTCGTCCACTTGTCTGTTCTCTGTCCCTATGTGAACATGTGTGTCACCTTTAAAAAAAGCTTTGAATTCTCCGTCTCCTTGTAGCCTATTACTACGGGAAGAGAAAGAAGATCATTAAGCCCCCAATCGGGGAAAGCAATGTTGAGAGCGGATACCCGAAACCAGCCAGGCGTCGGAAACGGCGAAAATCCATTTTTGTGCAGAAGAAACGGAGGTCTTCTGCTGCAGACTTTGCTGCAGGCTCAGGGGAGGTACGTCTACCCAGAGCACCTTCCAGCCGCCACTGGGACTCAGGGTCCTTGCTGGCCAATAGGCCGGCGTCACAGCGAGGGCCACATGAAAGTTCGATGCTGAACGGTTAAAACTGCGGAGTGTCTGGGATCCTTCCCCTTATTTTTTGAGAACAGATGTAACAGTGTCAGCTGCCCTGGCTGGGGAAGGGCTGCCACTGGCACCCTAGATGGAACCGTTGGATGGGTCCTGTGGTGCCAGACCAGGGGGTTTGCACAGGGCCACCTGGGCAGAAGGGGTCTAGGGTTCGAGGCTGGCCCGCTGCGTTCGCGAAGGCCCCGCCTCTCCTGACCTGTCGGCGCGTTTCCCTCCTTCGCAGGAGAGTGAGGAGGAGGAAGCGGATGCCGTGGACGATGACACAGCGAGCGAGGAGACCGGCTCCGAGCTCCGGGATGACCAGACGGACACCTCTTCGGCCGAGGTCCCCTCCGCCCGGCCCCGGAGGGCTGTCACCCTGAGGAGCAGCTCCGAGCCTGAGCGCCGCCCACCTGTGGACAGGGCACGACGGGGCCGTCGCGTGCAGGCCACCTCCTGTGCCGTGGGCGACAAGGGCCCGGCAGCCGGCCAGGACACGGCAGAGGTAAAGCTTGCGGGCCCTGGCGCTGGCTTGTCTGGGCGGGGTGTTGAAGAAGAAAACGCATTATAGTTCACGGCCTAGATTTTGGGATGCGACTTCAAAATACTAAACACACCAGCAGCCGCTCCAGCTTCATTCCTCAGTCAAGGGCAAAAGGCTTGATGATTTCACATCTTGACTGGTGGGTCAGTGAACGTCAGAATGGAGTTCTGAGGGAAGCAATGGCACCTCTTTTGCTGGAAGGTTTTAAAACCACAAGAGATTCTTGTCAGGCAAACAGGAGAAGTCCTCGGGATCTGGGACACAGCAGACTCTACTCTCTCTTTATAGAGTCCTTGGCGATGCCGGAAAATGGCAGGTCAACCTGTCAGGCTTCTCCTGAACCCATAGGTGCTAGGTGATAGCTGCAAGGTCACTGGCACCATCCACCACCGTCACAGGAATGAGCGTGGGAATGGCGGGCTCTCCTGCAAATGTTTGTATACACCCCTCGCCGTTCCTGTCTCCTTCTGTCAGAGCTGCGTCACTAATACACAGGCCCAAGATTTCCTGAACTTGGGATTCAACAGCTGCTATCACCATGCCTTGTATTTTAACCTCTAAATGTACACATCATCGTACGAAAGTCATAAAACCCAGACGAGCTGCTGAGAAAGTCCCTAGAGACTGGACGTCTCTGTGGCTTGAACAGGTGCCTCCCGAGAAACCAGTGGGCGGAGGCCCTCGCGGTCCCAGGAGCCTGGCTCCGGCCCACAGGGCTTTGGAGAGGACCTTGCCGACCATGCGGTGGTGAAATGACCTGCTGCTCCTTTTCCTCTGCAGGAAATAAAGCAGGAGGAGGAGGGGAGACTGGTTCTGGAGAGCAACCCGCTGGAGTGGACGGTGACTGACGTGGTGAGGTTCATTAAACTGACGGACTGCGCCCCCTTGGCCAAAATATTTCAGGAACAGGTACGGTGTCTCTGTGCTGTGTTTGCTGTTTTCATAAGACTCTCTGGGTCTCAGACCTTCTGTCGTAGCTGGCTGCCTGTGGCAGGCTCGGGCAGGGGCAGGGCGCTTCCCTCTTACTTGTGTGGGTGTGAGGTGAAAGTCTGGGGTCCACACATGGTCTCCACCGACATCTCCTTGGTGGGCTCTTTGCTGTTAAGCAGAGATGGAAGTCCCAGCTCTCCACTTGGCCTTCTCCAGGTGGTGAGGGCCTGGTGCCACCTGGCCAAGCCAGAAGTCTGGGCCCCTGGCTCAGCCCCTGCTGGTGTGGGTGGGGTGGGCCGCTTGCCCTGCGGTGGACTAGTCATTGTCTAAAAGGCTTTGTCTCCCGAGCACCCCTTTCCTGGTCCTTTGACAGAGAGGTCGGCCTCTAACGGGCCTCTCATCATCCGTGCCACTGGCACTTCTGAGTCACCAAAACCCAGAGCACGCACCACCACGTCATATCCTGGGTCCTCTGGTCCCAGGCGGTCTGCCTTCTCCCCACTTTCCAGCGTCTTCGTATGCGTGTTGTATTAAAACGCCCAGGGCTTTTAGGGTTGCAAAGCAGGAGAAATAGGGAAAAATATGTCAACCGATCCTCCCAGAAGAGCACGCGCTCTGTCCCTCTGTGTTTTATTTGATACCACTGCCATTGGTTTTCTTTATTTCCTTCTTTTTTTGTAAAATATTTTAAAGCCTCTCTGGTACATTAGGTGTTGTGCTAAATGATGAATAAATACAGAAACAGTTGACATAATCTATACTTGGAAGGAATTTTTAATTTAACAGGTGACAAGACTTAGATTAGCTAAAACATAAGTCATGCCACGCATGCTGTGCAGTGAGAAAGGAAGGTTTTTATTTAGTTTCTCTTAAATTAACATGCGAACAAACTGTTACTCTGAGCACGCCGCCTTGCACACCCCTCACTGGCCTCGCACAAAAGTTCACATTTAAGCTTGCGTTCAGTTTATTGACATTTCTCGCATTGTTTCACAATGTAAATATGTCTCTCAAGACCTAATATATTTTTTAAAAATACAGTTTCCCACATGATAAATTTAAAATATGTCATCCATTCTTTTTCTAGATGACACAAACCAATAGTCTAGAGGGAGGGTAATTCAAGCAATAAATCAGGAAGAAAAATGAAAGGCCTCTGATTTCCCATGCTCCCAGTGAATTTCCCGGATTTCTCCCCAAGTTCACCATAACGCAGTAATGAATTGTAAAAAGCAAATTAACGTGGTTCCAAGCTCCTCTCGGGGAGGGTAGCTGTTAACATTCAGCGGTCTCCTCTGCAGACCGTAGACCCCTCCGTACTAGACCCTCAGTAGGCGCACGCCGAGAGAACGACCCGTGACGAGAAGGACAGGGTCACCTCCTCACCATCAGGCATTAGCTGCACGTCCTCTCTGGGCGACACGTCAAAGCAGACAAACAGGGAAAACTTTCATTTTATGGAAGGAACCTGGGTAATGAGTGTGTCTCTACCTGAAACACACAAACAGAAGAGAAAGAATTTTAAGAAAGGTTTCAGGACTTAAGTGACTCAGGCTATACTGATAAGCCTCCTCTCTCTCTTGTGAACAAAAATACAGCAGAACTTGGAAAACTGGCTTAAAGCACTGCCTATTATAGCATTTTTTTTGTAGTGTCACTATTAATAGTGGCACTACATAAAAAAAAAAGAAAAAAGAAAAACATTGCATTCGACTACATGACAAGTGCTGATGACACAGTTTAACATGTATCTGTTCATTTACGTGTACATTCAGCATATACTGATGGAGTGTCTATTATGGGCTTTGCAATAATAGTCAGGTATATATGGAAGGTAACATTCTAGGTTAGTCTGAAGTTGTGTTTTTGTTTTATTTTGGTTTTAGCCTCAAACGCCCAGTTTTAACTGAGCGGTGTTTTTCAATTGATGCAATCGCAGAGCAGAGGACAGAGTGTCCCTCTCCCAGACGTTATCTGTAGGAACCCAAGACCTTCTGAGGAAGGTTAACAGGCTCATGTGTTGCCTCCTTTTACAAGTTTCTAGTAATAAGCAAGAAAGCGAAAACAAAGCTGCTTTAATTGTCCTTCTAAGCCCAGTTTATAACACTGTCTCAGGAAGTTTCAGGCCTTCCCAGGCTTCTAGAAGTGGAGTGTCCGTGGCCTGTAACCACTTCCAGAATTGAGCACGGGGTAGGGCCCTCCCTTAAAAGCCTGGTCCTCCTTACCTACTAATTTCTCATGTAGAGAGAAAAATAGGTAGACTTTAATTGATAATAGTCTTATTCCTATTGAATTTTAAATTTCACGTTAGGCCATTTTACCTGTCACAATAAAAGGCTATTGCCCTGCTGTGCGCTCTGAAGTATGCGGGCACTAGAGGTTTTTTCTCTTCAATCAGACCTTTAATTACTAATTTGTACTATCATCTCTGATCCCAAATGCCACGGCCATGATTTGGTGAGACCTCCAGCGAGTCACTCCAGGTGCTGCGTGAGTTTTTAGACGAACTAGAAGGAGCCCTGGGTCTTTATTCACCAGCGTGTGAGAGATCACAGGGCATGGGATGGTAAAAGCTACGTGCATTTGCTCCCTGGTTTTGTGAATTCAGACACTCCTTATCACCAGGAGCGTTTACAGAGATCACAGACCCCCAGTTCGCAGAGTGCCTGCCTTTCAGTTCTGGACTGCTACAGCGACCGCTTAAAAATTCTGTACGCTATAATTTCATGCTGCAAACGTGTACGTTTTTCAGGAAAACTCCACACATCTATAACTAAACAAACACAAAACTCTCAAATGAAGTTCTGCCTATTCATTCGCCTTTTATGAGCCAGAAACACATAATAAGCAAAGTACCTAAATTAGTGTTTTACTTTAATAAAAAAATTTCAGGATAGTTTGCAGGTTTAGTTCACATTCTTTCTGTTTCTATAGACCTAACTCTCTCCGTTAGGAGCTACCAAGCCCTGTACTGAACCCTATGTCAAAATGAATTTAATTTTTTTCATGTGCTGAGCATAACTTTCATGTTGTGTATTTTATTACATTTTTCCTAAAATTACTATTCCATTTATGTTAATGCTATCTGGACCATAACAAGTGATTTGCTAGCAATTCTGAATTATATGACAGCATATTTATAAACATTAAATTAACTGTGAGGTCTGTTATTACATAATCAATGAAAAAAAAAATATTTCAAACCAGAACAAAAGCCACGTATGCGAAAGGACTGCAGGGTGGGATTCCTCCCTCATTGCTTGACAACTCGTGGTATCACCTGTGTTATTATTTTGCCCGATTTTTCTTCCATTTATCCACCGCTCCCTCCCGTTCTACTGTGAGACCGTGGAGTGGATGCTGGCTGCATGCAGTCTGCAGCACGAATGAGTCTGGGACAGAGGTGTCGGGCAGCTGCATTTGACAGCACGGAGCCACCTCCACTGTCTTGCACACCAGCGCCAGTCTGCTGGTCAGGTTGCTAAACCGTAGCGACTTGCGGCAGGCAACGTGCCACTCCGGTGTTTGGGGACCGGGGCCCTGATTTTATTCTGGGTCTCATAGTCTTCTCAGAGTGAGAACACTGAGTTGGGTTTTACATCGTCGGGTAAGATGGAGAATGAAGTGCGAACCCGGAGATGACAGCCAGCGGCCATGAGGCGGCCGAGTGTAGACAAGCTGCAGGTTAGCCACTGCTCCCACCTCAGATATCGGGCCCAGTTGTCAGTTCTTCCCGGATGAGAAGCAGGCGAAGGGTCTCTGATGAATCAGGTAGCTTAGCCTCAGCCCTCCCCACCCCGTGGTCTTTGTCTTACTGCAGCTCGGAGTTTTCTGCAGACAATTCAGCTCGTGTGTCTTCTCAGCCTGTCAGTCTCAGTTGTGCGAAGCCTTCCACGTGGGCACCGTGAGAGCCACGAGACGCGTTTAACTTGCTCTTAAGGGGATGTTCAGAGACACAGACTTGATCCCGTCTGTCTCAGGTTGCCCACTCTTGAAGTCCAGGCTGAGGGGTGTGGACTTCCCCCCGCCCCCACCATGGCCCTAAACTGGGACCCCTTGTAAATTGTAGGCTCGCCCCTTTGATCTCCACTAACGCAAATACTATTCTGAATTTTGTTTTGTCAAGCTCTCGTTTGATTTTCTCTTATATATTTTTACTAAGTGATATCAAAATATTTTCCAAAGTAGTACATCGGGGTGGCATCCTATTGAGCGTGGCGGTTCCCTTTATGACACACATCTCCGTCAGTGCTTAGTATTTTCAGACCTTAGTTTCTGTGGCTGTAAGACTATATTATATTGAGAGCTTCATCTGCATTTCCCTGATTCCCTCAGGTCTCAGTTTAGGCATCTGAAGCCTTCCTTGACGCCCATGAGAGAACGGTTCAGTCGCCCATTTCGTATGAGCCCATAGCTCTGTGTCCATACATTAATTTTCCTATGTTGTAATGGTCTATGTATTTGCCTGCCTCCCTTGAGATTTGTAGTCTTCTTGGGGGGAAATCTTTGTTTTGTTCAGTGTGGGATCCCCAGAGACCATGAGAGTGCCTGGCACTTAGTAGGTGCTCAATAAATGTTTGTTGCGTAAGTGACATCCTCCACTTGAATGTGGTGCATGCATATGGCTGCCCCCTTCACTGAAATTGTCTGTAGAGTTACACATATATATTTTAGGGCTGATTTTTCAGTTGTAATTGATTCTATATGTCTAAGGACGGCCATCATGACTGACTGTAGGTGTTAAAAGCTGAGCTATAATTTTCTCTCCAGTGTTTAATATCAGAAAACCACATTCCTAGTTCCACTGCTCTCTAGCTCTGTGATCTTGGATCAGCTAGCTTTTCTGGCATTATTTCCATCTTTAAAAAGGTTTTCAGCTCCTAAAATAAGTTCAGGTCTATTCTATCCTGTTCTGTTGATTCTTTTGAACCTAAAGATGAAGCTTACTGCACGCAGTCTTGCAACATCAGCCTTCTTCTTACTTACAGTGTATTTCTTTGAGGCTCTCGATACCTACAAGACTTTGTATCCCTGGGTCTGTGCCCTCTCTGTCCACTTGCTGTGACATACGTAGATTTGGTTCTGAACATGGAATTGGCTAAAAGGTTCCAGACCAAGGGGTTCTTGTGTTTGCTTCTCCACCTTGAACAACGTACTTTTTCTCAGTATTTCTAATTTCCCTTACTACAACCAGCCTTTTAGGTAGTATCTACAAAGCAAGTAGAATAACATGCTAAAACTCTAGAGAAAAAAAATGATATATATGTAGCATCAAAAACTCATTGACAGTGTTATTAGTTTACCTTCTACTTTCAGTATATGTTCAAGACTAATCTGTTTACTAATTAGTGGCCATATTTGAGGCTTGGTTGAGACATGGCTTATAGTGGCATGCATCCTAGCTAGTGCTCATCTGTAATTTAGAAATAGTAAGTTGCACTTGCTTTGTTACTTTTTCAGTTAATGCTTAATTTATATTGCTGCCGTGCTTATTAGGGAGTATTTGCACATCAAGATTTTTTGAACTGATCACATAAGTTACACTTACTCTCAACACAGGTCTTTCTAAAGCTAACATATACACAGTTTGGTTCTTTGCTGTAGATAACTTTCAAGGCAGCTAAATAAACCATTAGTTTAATAAGAAAATAAGCACCTACACAGACTTCATTGATACATGCTGCCTAAGGTCCATGCCCCCATGCAGTGGTGTGGCTATTAAGTCTGCGTGGCTTATCGCAACGCTGGGCACACGACTTCCCCAAGTAGCAGGAATTCTGGTGTGCCAAGTTCCGTTTATACTGTCATTCCACCACCGACCTTTGTCATTACCTTGAGCCTCAGCTATTCCCTCTGGAACATGAGGTGTGCCCTGGTGCCTAGGAAGAAGGGTCGCAGTTCTACTCAGTCACCTAGTCACACAACATCTCCATCAAGAAACCTGACCATTCTAGAAAGCAAGTGAGTGAAGAGCAAAGATATCCAGCGGGGTGATCTTAAAGCTTTGGGGTGAGCCTTCGTACCCTTCTTCCTGCGGTGCATGAAGTTTGATAGTCATCTCGTGAACACCTAAAGGCAAAACAGGAGATAGACCTGGACCCAGGTAGCACTCATTCTGGGCAACGTCAGTGTGTGAATGTAGATGTGTGTGCACGTATGCGTGTGCATGGGTGTGTGTCTGAACACCTGTGTTTTCTGTGGAAAACTGCTGTGTAGTCGGTATGTCTCTCCAGCATCTTCTCGCCCATTCTGATGTGAAGTGTCAGACCTGCAGGGAAGAGAGGCTCTCCTCCTAGTGGAGAGCCCTTTTCTAGCTCGGATGAGGTCACAGTGGATCTGTTGGGGGGGGTCTGGGTCCTGGGGCGGGGGGTGCTCTCCTAGCGAGGGTTGCTGAGCATGGCAAAGAATCCCTGCAGCAGCTCACCTCTCCGGCTCTGTCTCCCCACCAGCCTGGGCATGTGTTTTCAGAGTAGCCACAATGTTTTGAGCAAAGAGGATTTATTAACCCAGGTGAGGCATACATCAAGCCAAGCTGCTTTCTGCCAGCATGCTCCAGAATCAGAGGCGACGAGAGCAGCCCATGCCCTTAGCCCCAGGACAAAGGCTGTGACAAATGCCTTGCCTTGGTGCACACTGTCTCGGCTCTAACCTGGCTCTGTTTTCCGGCAGGACATCGATGGGCAGGCGCTCCTACTGCTGACACTTCCCACCGTGCAGGAGTGCATGGAGCTGAAGCTGGGGCCCGCCATCAAGCTGTGCCATCAGATCGAGAGAGTTAAAGTGGCTTTCTATGCCCAGTATGCCAACTGATTCTACCTTCAGGGGATGTGGCCCATTGTGTTGGTGATGCCGTGTCTTGGGAAGGTTTTCGGGACTGGAACTTTTATTTTTCTGGGTTATGAGAGATGGTTCATATACTGTTACTGAAAAGCAAGAAGCGTGAAGGACCTCCTTCACTTTCATCCACCAGCCTGTTTCATAGTTTCATGTTTTAAAGCTCATGCCAGGACCACAGCAGTGGCCTCTGGAGAGTGTAAATTAAAGTTCTGTGTCAGACCTGTGGGTCATGGAAGAGCTTTTTTGTACATCCATAGCTCACCTTTCTCCCACCCCAAACCAGGCAGCTGCCTTTGAACAAGGTCCTTCACCACAGCCCACATGTCCTCGAAAACTAAGGTGCAATTCGTGTCTGTCTTTTTCAGTGTGACCAAAGAGGGTGCCTATCGTTTTTGCTCTACTCATCCTCAGACGCATTTATAGATGCTTCTTTCATATCGAGACACGTGTGGCTGTCACCACAGTTTGAGCCGATCTTGGTGATAACTCATTTCTCAAACATGTAGCCGATGTTTCAGGATGCAGTTATAAAAAGATGGGCTAAACCTGCATCACCTGTCAGAGGTGCCTTTTAAGCAGCATGGGGCGTGAAGGAAGGCGGCGTGGCATTGCGGGGAGAGTTTTCCTGAGCGATGGGCATCTGGAAAGTCTGTAGAGAGGACTTCTATTCTACTCTTGTGGAACCTCAAATATCGCTAACACTCTAATTTAATTGTGATCAGACTGGGGAGGGACTCCTTTCGTCTCTTGGGAAATGCTGAGTCGTATGTTGAAGGGAAAGCTTAGTTTCAGAGAGCAGGAACAAGAGACTTGAGGGAAGCATTTTACAAAGCAGCCACATCCCTTAGCAGGATCCCTGCGCAGGCTCCAGAGAGAGTCCCTCTGAGTGCCTCGCATTCGGGGCAGCCCTGGCACACTCGTTACGACAGGCACGAGGAGCCACGCACCCCCAGCAGATGCAGCTGAGCGAGCGCTGAACCTGGAGTCAGCCCTGGTCCTTAACCTGGCATGGCTAATTACTAACTCCGTGGTCTTGGGTGACTGAGTCGCTCTGGACCTTGTTCTTGCAAAGTGACAGGTTGGAGCACTTGTGAGTGGAGCGGTGGCACACGTTTTTCTGTCCCCATCCCATT